TCACCCAACTCTGAAATAAAATGCAACCGATTCATTAGGGGAAAGAAGAAATACCAAGGTTTCGTGGATAAACAAACATCTACACCCAAAGGATGCATGAAAGGGCCTTTCCTTCGGTGGAAGAGTCGGCACTGGCAGAGGATATGCTGAGGGGATGGAGAGAGTGCTGTGGACAGGGCACTTGCCTTGCACAGATCAATCCCCCAGCATCTCATTTGGTCCCCCAACACTGCCAGATGCAATTCCTGGGAAACTCAGGAGTAAAGCGAAGATGACCCCTGAGCATTGCCAGGTGTGGCCCAAAACAAAACAAACAAAAAAGAGAAAAGAAAAATAAGCTGAAAATGTGAAGGGTCCACTGGCCTGGTTTTAGTTCAGAGTTGTTTCTTTTTGTTTGTTCTGGATCCATTCCCAGTGATGCTCAGGAGACCGTCAAAGATCAAACCCCAGCTCCTGCACACAAGAGATGCACTACAGACCTCTGAGCTATCACTCTGACTCTGGTGCACAGTTTCTATCCATATAAAGCTTACTGAGCAAGACTGTGGCAGCGAAAGTCTGAAACACAACCATGTAGTTAGTTCCTCTTAGAACCGTAATCTCACTCTAAAACACGTTTTTTTCCCTGTCTCTCTTTCTGTAACATTATTCTGGAAAGATTATGTCCCAAACTCTCTGAAGAAACTCTTTATTTTAAAAAAGCTAAGGGAGGGGGGCTGGAGCAATAGTACAGTGGGTAGCGCATTTGCCTTGCACATGGCCGACCCGGGTTCGATTCCCAGCGTCCCATATGGTCCCCCGAGCACCACCAGGAGTCATTCCTGACTGCAAAGCCAGGAGGAACCCCTGTGCATCACCGGGTGTGACCCAAAACACAAAAAGAAAAAAAAAAGCAGCTAAGGGAACATTTGGAGGGTGGGGGGACACAGAAAGGAGGTGGGTGCACCTGGAGAGATTGGATAGAATAGGACACTTACTATGCACCTGAATCTGACCTGTGCTCGCTTTCCAGCACCCACATATGGTGCCCTGAGCACTACCAGAATTCACTCCTGGGGCCAGAGCCAGGACTAACTCCTGAGCAGCACTGGCCCCGCTCTCAAAAAATACTTAAGAACACTGGGGGCAGAGAGATAACACTAAAGTACTAAAGTATTGGCCCTGCATGCCTGGAGCACCAGGTTCATTCCTGACACACATGGTCCTCCAAGTACCATCAAGAGTGACCCCTGGAGGGAAGCCGGCCCTTGTCCTCTCCCCCACCCTGATGGGACTCTTAAATGACGCCCACAAATGGCGACCGGCTACTTAAGCTCCTATACGGTCATGATCCAGAGGCACACACACTAATCTTGGAACCAAGCAGCTCCCTGTTGAGATCTCTTCAGACCCTAATTACTAAAATTTTAGACTTCCGTGTGACATTGTATTTTATCCATAACAAGCAATACAAAATAAATTGTCCGGCAGTGCCTTTTCAGCAGGTTAGAGTGGTGGTGGGACTGGTGCCAAAATACCGAATATAACCAAAGTAGAGAGAGAATATTGTGCAAATTGTCTGCCACACAGGCACGGGAAGGTGTGGAATGGGGTGGGGGGGGGGCGCCAATACTGGGGATTTTGGTGGTGGAAAATGTGCGCCAGTGAACGGATGGGTGTTTGATGATTCTATGATCGAAGCTCAAACATGAAAGCTTTGTAACTGTATCTCACGGTGAATCAATAAAAACGGGGTAAAAAAAAAAGAGTGACCCCTGAAGGGCTGGAGAGATGGTACAGAGGGTAGGGCGTCTGTCTTGCAGGGGCTGACCTGCATTTGATCTCCAGCATCCCACATGGTCCCCTGAGCACCACCAGGAGTAATTTGAGAGTGCAGAGTCCAGAGTCACCCTGGAGCATCGCCAGGTGTATTCCCCAGTCATTGCCAGAAAAGTGACCCCTGAGTACCAAACCAGTCAATAGTAGCCCCTAGGCGTCACAAGTATGGTCCAAAAATTAAAATAAAGACATTGAGTCGGAGTCGGCCACCATGTCAACTTACTGGCTCTGCTCCGCCAAATCCCCGCAGAATCACAACAAGCACCTGAACTTTATGGAAACGCAGGCATCCTCTTCTGCAAACCCCGGAGCACCCACAGGCAGGCTAAGACCCACCAAATCAAAGCCCAGCAGCAGCACTCACGCCTCCCACTGCAACTTCATCAAGGGCTCAACTCCACTGCCTCACAAATATTCTCTGCAGAGACACCAATCTCCAAATACTTTCAGGTCCTGGCGCCCAGGTAGAGAACTCGGGGTTTTATTTCAGAGTCGGGATGGGTAGCCTCACCCCCAAGCCCTCATACTTCCGGAAGCCCCAGTAGTCCCCACTATCCACGCCTGCTACCTTGCCAACTCTTTGGCCCCAATCTGGAAATGTCTGGAAATGCCCAGACGGCGTACATGAATGCATGACAACTCCTGAACCAACAAAAAGCTTAATAAATTCTTAAACAAGGACTTACCAACCTTGCAATCTGATACAACATTCACATAAATTTATTTTCTAGTCTATTGGTATCAATATTGAAACTTATTTATCTCATTAATTTTAATCCTAGAACTTTATCAACATGCCAGTTGATGTTTTTTTCCACATTAAATTGGGAAAAAAAAAAACATTGAGGCCATGGAGATAGCTAGAGCCCTCAAAGGGCGAGAGCAAATGCTTGATATGAGGGAACCCTGGGTTGTATCACAGGTACCACCACGTGTCACCTACACATTCAAATGCTTGATATGAGGGAACCCTGGGATGAATCCTGTGTACCACTGGTATGGTCACACAAAAATATCAAAGGGAAGCTAGGTGATTAGAGGTCCAGGGAGATAGCTCAACAGAAGTTAAGCTTCAGGATGCAGGTTTGAACCTTGGAACCACATGCCCACCTCCTACCACTCCCTTACCACCAGGTGTATCCCTAGAGACCCTTGAGCATCATTCAGGTAACCCTGGTGGTCCCCTGCACTCCAGGTCTGAAATGTCAACATGCTTGGGCCCTAAGACTCAGTCCTACTGGACAAGTATCACCCGGAATAGTTCCTGAGCCTCAAGAGTACTGCTTGGGAGGCTTCCACAAAATTAAGATAAAATTGTTTTGGTTTTGTTTTGGGGCCACACCCAGCTGTGCTCAGGATTTACTCCTGGCTCTGTGCTCAAAGGTACTCCTGGTGGGGCTCAGGGGACCACGGGGTGCTGGGATCGAATCTGGGTTGGCTGTGTACAAGGCAAACATTCTACAGTTATACTATCTCTCTGGCCCAAACTCAAATGAAATTTTTTAAACAGTAGGTAACTGCATTTCCAGTAACGTGGCTCAGTAGCAGAGTGCTTGCCTTGCATGTGTGAGCTCTGCATTTGATCTCTAACACCTCAAAAAAATAAGAAAAGATAACTGGCTATTAGAAGCACTCATTCAATGGCCAGAGATAGCTCACAGGCTGGATGGAGTGTAGGCTTTGCATGCAGGAGGCCAGCACGTAACGGTTCCCTGAACACCACTAGGAATAACCCCCAAACCACCAATTGGGAGTAGGCCCTGAGCACCATTAGGTGTGATTTTTAAAAAGTTAATAAAAACACACATTCAAAACAGATCATGTCTATAAAATACATTCTAGAGTAACGGTCTAGACTTCCCAAGAGGAAACGCTGTACTGACCTCAAAAGCCGAGGAAGAAGACACCATGCATGGCCTACTCAATCATCTCCCAAAATAGAGGTAGCCAGAAGGGCAAGAGCTATTGCCTCATTAAATAATACAGCCACATACCATGAAGCCTTATTTTAAGAGGCTTCAGTATCCGCCTTGCTTCCCAGAAACACTCACTGGAGCTCTGGGCAAATACGACCAAACTGCAGCACCACCCTCAGACTAATTCCTACCCAGCTCTCCCCACCTGCCTCTCTGCTCTAGGCACTGCTGCACAGCCTCTGAACGGCACTATACTGACTTGCTGCCACAAAACTCCCAAAGTACTGGTCAGAGATGACACAGTCTCAGCTCTCAGAAAGTGCTTTCCGGGGGCCAGAGTGATAGCACAGCAGGTAGGGTGTTTGCCTTGCATGAGGCCAACCCAGGTTCAATCCCCGGCATCCTATATGGTCCCCCGAGCACCACCAGGAGTAATTCCTGAGTGCATTAGCCAGGAGTAACCCCTGGGCATTGCTGGGTGTGATCCAAAAAGCAAAAAAATTAAAAAAGAATATATATATGTAACATAGACACATGAATAAGATACAAATTTACCTAAACCCATTCTCAATCTGTGTTTCAGATTAGATAAAATGAAAAATTATGAAATTTTCAAATTATGAATTGATATTAATGACACCAATTTCTATTTTGTCCAGAATTTCCACTTGAAGGAAGGTGCTCTTAGTTCCAGTTGTTTTATTTTTGCCATGCTGGAGGATCAAACCCAGGATCCCATAGATGCCCGCCAAATGCTTGATAGTGAGCTCAACCTCGGTTCAAGAGTTTTGAAATTAGAGAATTGCTTTTGTCCACTTAGTTTTCTCCTTTCCAGCTGGACCCGGATAACCTCTCAATTTTTTTCTCTTTTCCTCGACATAACTCTTTCAGCAATAAACTATAGATCAAGGTGCCAGAGAGACAAAACAGAAGGCACTTTCCCTGCACTCAGCCAAGACAGGTTCAATCCCCATAACATATATGTTTCCCTGAGCATCTCTAGGAGTGATCCCTGAGCACAGAGCCAGGAGTAAAACCTGAGCATAGCACAGGATGTGGCCCAAAGACCAAACCAAAAACAGATACAAAGAAACACCAAAGTCTGTATCAATCAACTGCCCAATCAGAGAACCTTTTCCAATACTGTCTACCAGACATGTGGCCTAACTTCAGTGCAGGCACCACCAGTTCAAAGATACCAATCAGAAAACAGTATTTCTGCCCTCCAATACAATACCAGTGCGACGTGCCTCGGATAAAGCCTACCTGTGTGCATCCTCCAGATTATCCACGGGTGACCCCAGTCGGTCACTAAGTCGCCGCTGTCTTTCTGGTATGCCAACACAGAAGTGGTCATTGCCAACAGTGATTCTTAAACTCTGTTCCAAAGAATCAGAACGCAGACCAGGAGATCTTCTCTAAAAAAATGTAAGATAACAGAAGATAGGATCAAGACATTCCTATTTGCAAACACATTCTTTTCCCTAGTCACAAAACAGTGGTGTCCAAGAAGCCACCAGGATTTTCAATTTTTCCAATCATGTGGTATCACACAGATCAAAGCTAAGTTTTCATGCATGTAAGGCATGTGCTCTGTTGCTGAATTAGGTTTTAGGCCATTAAGAAAGCATTTCTCTGTGGCTTTTGTTATTATTGGTTTTTTGGTTTTGCTTGTTTTGGGGACACACCCAATGATTGCTCAAGGTTACTTCTTGTGGTTCAGAGGACCATATGGGATGCCAGAGATCAAACCCAAGTCAGCTGCATGCAAATGCCATACCAGTTGTACAACTGCTCTGGCCCTAAGAAAGTATTTCTTTTTTTTTCCCCCTTGGGGGGCGTGGAGTTGGGTTTGGACACACCCAATGATGCTCGGGGCTCTGCACTCAGAAATTGCTCCTGGTCACGCTCATGGGTTCAGTGATGCTGGATCAACCACGTGCAAGGCAAATGCCCTACCCACTGTACTATGGCTCCGGCCCCAAGAAAGTATTTATTAATGACTGTGGGCTAAGAGAGAAGTACCCCCTGGAACTGTGTATACCAGATATCCACTTTTCCTATTTGGGAGACCAGAAATGAAGTTATATCTGCTCTCGCAAGTAACTGGAGGGAAAAATGGTTAATGAAAGTTTGATATAATCTGCTTCCTTGGGGCTTTCTTGCTATTTGTCATCTGTTAGATATTTAAAACTTGAAACCATTGGCAATAAAATTTCAGAAAGGGAAAGGGAAAGGAAGGGAAGGGAAGGAAAAGGAAGGAAAGGGAGGGAGGGAGGGACACTTCAAGGGGCCAGAAAGACAGCTTAATGGATTGGAATGCAGGTTTGATCCCTGAGTTCAGCCAGGAGAGCTGGAGCACTAAGCTGGGAGCAGCCTCTGCGCACCACTAGGTCTGATCAAAGAAACAAAAACTAAATGAACAAAGATAGTGTATATTCTGGTTGCAATATAGCACAATAACATGAAAAGACTAGGGAGGATACATTTCAGGAGGGACAGTTAGAGAAGTCTTTTTGGAGGTGGTATCACTTAACTTCACCTCAATGATGCAGTATTAGTCCTGAAAGAGCAGACGGAACAGTATTTCAGATAAAAACAGGTTCTGTAAAAATTCTGTCTGTGGTAGGTACCAAAAATAAAGCCAGTGTGACTACAGGGAAATATAGAAGAAAAATGAAAATGTAGTAAGAGATCGAAGTTTTATACAGGGGAGTGGCACGGTCATATTATTGCCCCAGGGGCTCATACAGCTTATGATATCTAAAGTCTTCTGATATCTAAAAGTCACTTTCGGTGCAGGAGAGATAGTACATCTAGGATTTTACCACACACTTTGGCCAACCGATTTGGTCCCTGGCACCACATATAGTTCCCTGAGCACTGCTAAATGATCCCTGAGGAACAACTAGTGTGGCCCCCAAAAGAAACCAACCAATCACCTGTCCAGGAGACTTTTCACAGCTAGCCTAAAAAAATTTATACCTCCCAGGCTAGAAAGATAATACAAGAGTTAAAGCAGGGGCTGGAGCAATAGCACAGCGGGTAGGGCGTTTGCCTTGCACGCGGCCGACCTGAGTTCGATTCCTAGCATCTCATATGGTCCCCTGAGCACCACAAGGAGTAATTCCTGAGTGCAGAGCCAGGAATAACCCCTGTGCATTGCCGGGTGTGACCCAAAAAGCAAAAAAGAAAAAAAACCCCAAGAGTTAAAGCACTTGCTTTATATCTAGCTGACCCTTGAGTTAACAAATCCCTGGCACGACGTGGCCCCTGAGCACTGACAGGAGTTTCCCCTGAACACAGACTGGTGGTTCAAACCACTTCCCCTGAAAACACACAAAAACAACTCCCTCTATATTTTGTTAACTCTTAATCATATCTAACATGCATGAACATCTTACTCTTCTACCTTATTTATCATTTGACTTGCCAGCTAGAACATAAATTCCATGAGGACAGCAATCGTCTGTTTCATTCACTTGTTATGACCCGAGTCCAGCACAGCACTCAATTCACAGCAATATCAATAAATAACTCAAATATAATTAAGACTTAGAAAAATCATTTTGACTGTTGGGTACACTATAAACTGGTGTGGAACAAGGGAGGCATGTAGTGAGTCTAATGCAATAAATCAGATGAAAAGTAATAGCCTAGGGGGCTGGAGCGATAGCACAGCGGGTAGGGCGTTTGCCTTGCACGCGCTGACCTGGGTTCAATTCCCAGCATCCCATATGGTCCCCTGAGCACTGCCAGGAGTAACTCCGGAGTGCAGAGCCAGGAGTAACCCCTATGCATCGCCAGGTGTGACCCAAAAAGGAAGAAAAAAAAAGGGAGTCGGGCTGGAGCTGGAGCACAGCAGGTAGGGCGTTTGCCTTGCACGCGGCAAAACTGGGGTTCAGTCCCCACCCAGCATCCCATATGGTCCCCTGAGAACCGCCAGGAGTAACTCCTGAGTGCAGAGCCAGGAGTAACCCCTGTGCATCGCTGGGTGTGACCCAAAAAAGCAAAAAAAAAAAAAAAAAAAAAAAGCCTAGTGACAGTAGAGGGAGAGTAGGGAGGATGTACTTTGGAGGTAGAACTGACAAGTCAGATCAGAAAGGCAAAGTTAATCAGACACATTAGATAAGGGAAATAAAGACAGATAATCAATGTTTCTAAGTGATAAAAAAAAAAAGGCTGATGTTGCATGCCCAAGTTCTGATTCTGGGGATAGCTCACATCACAACCTGAGACGTTTACGACCTTTTTTTACTTTATGGTCTTGAACACATGTCTCTTTTGCTCTCTCCTCATACTCCCCTATATAAAACGATTTTATTTCGCTAGAAAAAAAGGGGGAGGGGGCAACTGCAGCCGATAAAGCTGTGTTTCAGAAGAGTTAATGGAAACAAGTATTCCGCTCTCCTTGCTTCCCCCTAATGACTAATACACAGAATTCCTGCTCAGCGAAAAAAATTCTTAAAAGTGACAAGTCAACAATTCACTTCGGAACCGAGTACCCCGCAAGCAAAAGTTCGTTGAGGCGTTTAAAAAGAAAGAAACACCGGTGAACCGAAAGTAAAAAAAAAAAAAAAAAAAAGAATCAGCAGACCCACCCCAGGTAGGACACCACAGGCTCAACATTCTAGAGAAATCGTCCATAGAGGGACGGGATAATGCCCCCGGTGGTGCTGCGGGGAGGAAGGGGGTCCAGCGCGGGTGCTGGGGATCGAACCCGAGACCACGCGTGGAAGGCAGACGCTCCTCGGCCCCCTAAATGAAACTTCTCCTTTCGCTGTCCCTCTGCCACCGAAACAGAGAGGACTCCTGGGGGGCTGGAAACTAAGAAGACCCCAACTGCCTCGCCGCGGCGCTCAGGCCCGTCCAGGGCGCAGGCGGGGGGCTGCAGAGCCCCGCGCCACGCCTCGCCCCGCGGGGACCCCGGGCCGCCCTGCCCGGGTCCGGGGCCCCGCGGACAGCCGTGTGCGGGGCCGCCCCCGCTCCGGCCTCCGGGGATGCGGCGCCGCGGGGTCTGCGAGCCGCTCCCGCGCCCCCCGGAGCCCGTCCCGGGCGCGCACGGCGGCCCCCGGCCCCGCGCCCGGCGCCTCCGCCGAGTCCGTTAGGTGCAGCCGCGGCTCGGGGTGCGCGAGGCTCCGGCACGTCGCCGCGGGGGACCCCGCCGGGAGGCCCGGGCGTGGGGGGAAGGGATGCCCGAGCGGCGCTGGGGTCGGCGGGACCCGCGACGGGGGTCCGGGTCGGGAGGATTACCCGGCTGCCGCTGTCGCCTGGATGGTCGCGGCTGTCGCGGGCGAAGTCGGCGCGGGACTCCCCGCGACCGCTGCCCCGGAGAGCGGCCGGGCCGGGCGCGAAGGGTCGGCGGCCCCGCGGCTGCGGCGAGGGGGAGCCGCGACGGCCCCGCGGCGGGGACGGGGAGCCGCCGCGGCGGCCGCGGGGCGGGGACGGGGAGCCGCGGCGACCCCGCGGCGGAGACGGCGAGGCCCGGCGGCCGCGGTGGCCCGAGGGCGAGCGGGCCCGGCGAGCCGGCGGCCGCGACGAGGAGGAGCCCGAGGGCGGCGGCGGCGGCGAGGGGCGGCGCGGGGGGCCCGAAGACGCGCCGCGGCCGGGGCGCGGGCCGCCCCCGCCGCTCTCCTTGGGCCGGTGCGAGGCGAGCGCGGCGCGGGAGCCGCTGCGGTACATGGCGCCGGGGGCGTCCGGGACGCGGCCCGCAGCGCGCCGCGGCAGCTGCAGCGCCAGCCCCGGCCCCGGCCGCGGCGCTCCGTCCCCGCCGCCGGAGCCGCCCCCTCCCCGCCGGCCCGCGCCGCCCCCGGGGCCCGGCCGAGCGCGCCCCCGCGGCCGCCCCTGGCGGTTGGAGGGCGCGAGCGCGCGCCCGCCACACCCCCCCCTCGCCGGCCCCGCCCTCCGGGGCTCCGGCTCCTCCGCTGGGGGAGCGGCCGCGGGGGCCCGAGCGGGGCGGGAGCGCGCGGCCGGCCCCGCCCGCGCCGCCTCCACGCCGGCAAGATGGCGCCCGCGGGAACGCCCCCGCCCCGCCCCCGGGAGCACGTGACCGCCGAGCCCCGCGAGGGGCGCGGGGGCCGGAGCCGGCGCCCGGCCCTCCCTTCCGGCGGGGGGTGGCCCGCGCGGACCCCGGGGCGGCCCGAGCGTCTGCGGCCCCGCGCCCGGCGCCGGCTCCGCGCGCTGACGTCGCCGCGGCCCACGGATCGAAGCGCGCTTTCCAGGACCGTTACATGCGCCTCGAAAAGCGCGACCACTGAGCGAGAGCCTGGCCCCTCCGAGGCCCACGGCCACCGGCACGCTTTCCGCTCTTTTCCAAGGGCATGAGCAATCGTCCCAGAATCGGGGGGCTGAAAAATCAAACACCCAAACGACAGTCCTTTTTTTTTTTTTTTTTGCTTTTTTTGGGTCACACCCGGTGATGCACAGGGGTTGCTCCTGGCTCTGCACTCAGGAATGACCCTGGCGGTGCTCAGGGAACCCTATGAGATGCTGCTGCGAATGGAACCCGGGTCGGCCGCATGCAAGGCAAACGCCCTACCCGCTGTGCTATTGCTCAATAGCTCCACCCCGACAGTCTTTTTTTTTTTTTTTTGCTTTTTGGGTCACACCTGGCAATGCGCAGGGGTTACCCCTGGTTCTGCACTCAGGAATCACCCCTGGCGGTGCTCAGGGATGCTGCGAATCGAACCCGAGTCGGCCGCGTGCAAAGCAAACGCCCCTACCCGCTGTGCTCCAGCCCGACAGTCCATCTCTTAAGGGTCTTTTACTCTCGCAACTAAAAGGTGTGATTTTGGAGGTCACTGAGCACAGGAAGGGTTCCATATCTTAAGATGGGAGAGCCGGAGAGCTTTTTATGACCCATTCAGAACTTCCCATCTAGAACCAGGATTTTCCTGGATTCTTTCTGGCTATTTCCTAGCCACAGGTCCGGCATGCTAAGCAGGAAAGTCAAGAAACAAAAAAATGGTGGGCAAACATAAAAAGTGCTGGTCACAGACATTCAGACTATTGGAAATAAAACAAGGGTTTAACATTTTCTCATCTAGATAAGGGAGATGAAGAGGGTTCCAAAGATGGGCTGTCAGTGCCTCGATAAGCAGCAACTACATTTTTCTATTTTGTTTAGGGGCCACTCTCGGTATGAGGAGGACTTACTCCTGGCTCCGCACTCAGGGATCACTCCTGGCAGGGCACTGGGGATCATATGCGGAGTGGAACCCACGCAGACCAGGTCCAAGGCAAGAGCCCTACTTGTACTATCTCGCCCGCTTCATTTATGTTTTTGCACTGTCTTGTCACAAAAAGAAATTTTGTAGTGAATGAAGATTCCTCTGCATTTTAGCATCACCATTTTTTCTACTGTAGGAGGTTTTTGAACGGAAGATAATGGAAGAGACAAAAATTTAAGTTAAGATTGAAAAGACAAAAAAAAAAAGATCGAAAAGACAATACTATGGGTAGGGTGCTTTCCTTGCACACTGATTTCCTTTTTTTTCCTTTTTTTTGATTTCCTGAGCACAGCTAGGTGCGGTCCACCTCCGCATAAGAAAAGAAGCTCATCCCACTCCCGTGGAAGCATGTTATCTGTGTTTAATGAGCTACAATGCTGTCCGTAGCTCATTAAAACTGATAAAATCCGTGACTCGACCAAATCATTGTGAAAATTTTGGAGGAAAAAATGTGAAGCTAATTTCACAGAATTCCTCCCAAACGCAGCAGCTGATTATGTAGAACAGCCTATGAGTGAACAGAGCCAGAATTCAAGGACCTACACAAAAAGCTAGTGGAGGCCCTTAGAATGGGGAGAAGGCTTAAGGGAGTTTCAACCCCTCCCTAATCCACACCGCCAAACACATGCAGAGAGAGGGAGCGGCCCCTTAACACCACCAGGTGTGGTCCTAAATAAATGCTGTGAGATCTCAAACTTGTATATTTTAAAATATAATTTAAAATATAATTCCCAGTGGCAGCAATTAAACTGCCTTATCTGTAATTTTCAGGTTTAATGTATAAATTATCAAGCCTTCCTGAAGTGATCTAATCCAGGAAATTGATGCGATAATTATCATACCATTTTTTTCTCTTTCCATTTTTTTTTGTTTGTTTTTATGTCACACAGCTGATTTTGCTTAGGGCTTACTCCTGGCTCTGTGCTCAGGGATCACTCCTGGTGGGCTCAGGGCACCAGAGTGCTGGAGATCAAATCTGGGGCAGCCCCCATGCAGGCAAATAGGGCCCCCTGAGCACTGCCAGGAATAAACCCTGAGTAAGGCTTACTACTTACCCAGGGCTTATGCCTCACCATACTATCTTGCTGGCCCCATATCTTTCTCAACTATAGCTTAAATCATAACCTCACTGAAGATCCTGCAAGGGTTTTGCTCTTATCCTCTGACGAGCGATAAGCCAGGGGCGAAGAACAAGCTCAACCAGCTGAAGCACATGGTCCATGTCAGGAGCCTCAGTCTGATCTGCAGCACCCCTGAACACAGTCCAGCAAGTAGCCCCAGAGAGCCAGGAGTAGCCCCTGAGCGCTGCAGGGTAAAGCCCCCAAACAAACAAAACCAAAAAACGGGAGGGACTGTAAATATTGGTGTTTTCAACATTTTGGGGGGGGAGGGGGTTATAGTTTTGGGCACAAAACACAGGCAGTGCTCAGGGATCATGTCGGGGATCAAAACTGGGCTGACACACAGAAGGAAAGGGCTTTTTACCCCCTTACTATCTCTGCTCAATTTTGATGTATATTGCTTGAGAGCAATATACTATGAAATAATGCACTTAAAACTGTATTTGGGGTCTGGAACGATAGTATGGCGGGTAGGGCACTTGCTTGCCGGGGACCAGCCCTGGGTAAACAGGCGTGAAGCAGGGCGCCTGGGAGGATTAAGAAGAGAGAGAAACAAGAGAAAAAGCATGGGATCGGGGCAACAGCCACGTGAACTGACTGAGCCCTGACTGTCCTCAGCTTCCAGTATTTATTGTTTAGAATCAGTAAGCATCAGGAGAACATTCTTTAGTTGGGTTAGACTTCTACATATCTGAGAGTGTTGTTAAACATAAGTAAAGGGTTTCCTTAAGGGGAAATTCTTCTAGGAGCACTTCAGGGCAGCATTCTGGATTCTGGTTCCCAACATCTGCCTTGGATGCAGCTAACCTGGTTTAGAAACCCAGCACCCCATATGGTCCCCAAACCCGGTCAGGAATAATTCCTGAGTGCAGAACAAAGAGTAACCTTACAGAGCATCACCGGGTGTGGCTCAAAAACAAAAAAGAAATTGTGGGAGTCAGGGAGATAATACAGGCGTTAGAATCCGCAGCCTATGTTTGCACTCCTAGGACTGAGGGGTGTGGTCCTGGTGGTCTCCACCACCAAAGGGCCCTGAGCAGCTCATCTTTGGGCCCGAGCAATCATGCCCAAGTTGACTGAGAATCACACTGAGGTCTTCTCCAGAAATATTTTAAAAATAAAACTATAGCAAATATTCAATAGTTTATATTAAAAAAATATTGGGGGAGCTGGAGCGATGGCACAGTGGGTACAGCGTTTGCCTTGCAAGCGGCCAACATGGGTTCGATTCCCAGCATCCCAGATGGCTACCCCGAGCACTGCCAGGAGTAATTCCTGAGTGCAGAGGCAGGAATAACCCCTGTACATTATCAGGTGTGACCCAAAAATCAAAAACAAACAAATAAATAACTTAAAAGATTAAAAAAAATTTTTTTAATCAAGTAGAAATACAAAACCTGAAGTTGATCTGAAAATCATGTTTCTATTATTCTTTTGAGGTAGTGTTCAAGGGTTGCTCCTTGCTCTGAGCTCAGACATTCCTGGGGAAGCATGTAAGTCTGCGATGGAACCTGAGTGTCCCTGATGCAAAGCCTGCACTTACCCTGTGTTTTCTCTCTTGGTCCTGAAAATCATCTTTTTCTTTGTTTCTATTTTGGGGCTATACCTGGAGACACTCAGGTGTTACTCCTACTTCTGTACCCGGGGACTGCTACTGGCAGTGCTCTGGAGACCAGACAGGATGCCAGGAGCTGAGCTCGGCTCCACTGTGTGCAATTCTCCCCACTATACTATTTCTCCAGCCCCTAATAATTATCTTTTTAAAAGTTCAAGGCTGGAGCGGTAGTAGAGCAGGTCGGACATTTGTCTTACGTGCGGCAGATGTGGGTTTGATCCCTGGCAACCCATATGGTCTCCTTGAGCCCCACCAAAGAGTGATCCCTTAGCACAGAACCAGTCGTAAGATCAAAGCACAGCCTGGTATGGCCCAAAAAACGAAAACAAAAAAATTCTAATGGCAACAGTGCTATTGTGTCTTAGAGATTTGCTTGCATCTCGAACTGAGATATGTACCTTTCTCTTTCTGTCTCTCTCCCTCCCCCCTTCGCCCCTCCTACCCCATCCTCTCTCTTTCCTCGTATTTCTTTAAATAAAGTAATTTTACTTCACTAGCACTGTAGCACTGTCGTCCCGTTGATCATCGATTTGCTCGAGCGGGCCCAGTAACGTCTCCATTGGAGACTTTGTTGTTACTGTGTCTGGCATATCGAATACTCTCGGTAGCTTGCCGGGCTCTCCGAGAGGGGCGGAGGAATCGAACTCTGGTCGGCGGCTATGTTGGCCACTTGTAAGGCGAACGCCCTACCCGCTGTGCTATCGCTCCAGCCCAAGG